GGGGGGAGGTCGAGGACGACAAGACTTTTGTTGGTGTAGTGGAGAGGTATCGCTTTTTCTTTTTTATGACGGTGGTTTCTGTTGTTGTTGTTGTTGTTGTTGTTGTCGTCGTCTTTATTTTTCGTACTGTCGTTCATATTGTTATTTTAAATGTGTATTGTACAGCCTCTAAGTATCCATGGAACAGTCTGAAGGTCTTTACTGAAAAAAACATTTGGATGTTGCTGTTGTTTTCTTTGTCAATATGGATGCTGCTACACGTATCAGTATCAGTGTAATTTTCAAGTCTGTTATGAGTTCCTCTCTCTTTGTTTGGATTTGTTGTTTGTTTTTTGTTTTTAAATTCTGTATTTTTGTTGTCCGAGGATGTTTTTTTAATGGGAATTGGAGGAATTTTTTGTGAAATTACTTTTTATGTAGATTGTTTTTGTTGCGGCTTTTGTTGCAATGTTGTGTGTCAGCCTATCTCTTTTTTTCGATTTGAGTAAATTGTCCATCCGGAAACTGCCTATTAGTCTATTACATGAAGACTAAAGACAACGATCTAGAGGATAAAAAGAACATTGCTATTTTTATTATTTTTTAAGAAACTAAATGTTTCTGCGTGTCGTTTGGATTCTCGAAAGTCAGATGTCTTTAACATTTGAAAAAGGAACTTGTCACGGATTTTGACTTTTCTTAAAACCAACGTTGGGGGTTAATGGAGAAGGTTGATGGTTGTTTTTTATATGCAACAGATGAAAAACCGCCTTAGATAATTTAGTTTATTGTCCTGATTTGAAAAGTCTTCATCGCATTTTTGATACTATGGTGAGCATAGTACGTCCAAATCAGACGTGCCTTTTGGGAGCTTTTTGTTGTAATGCACCAATACTACTTATTTTACAAGTAAGTGTTTCTAATCGAAACAAGTTCAGTTTGATAATAGTTCCCCAGACATAAGTCCTTAGCCCAGTACCACACTACGACAGAACACTTATCAATGAAATGTTTTGTTGATGAGTTGCAGACAATGAAAATAAGGAACACCACCGCACTCGGGAATCAAACTCGGATTTCCTGTTTGTGACTGCGAAGCGCTTAACAACTACACCAGAGACGACGTTTTCAGCCCCTGTCTCTGTCTCTGTCTGTCTGTCTGTCAGTCTGTCTGTCTGTCCCTTTCTCTCTCTTCCTCTCCCTCTCCCTCCTCTCTCTCTCTCTCTCTCTCTCTCTCTCTCTCTCTCTCTCTCTCTCTCTCTCTCTCTCTCTCTCTCTCAAAAAGCGCAGTAATCTTTATGATAAGAAGCCGTCTAAATCCGGCAGATCCTAACGCAGTATACTATTTCAGTCTCTGATGTTGGTCTACATCAGTGTTAATCGTTATACAAATATTACCGTAATCTTGCCCCGGGATGAAAAAAATCAAGGTGAGTATTCGTGTTTCCTTCACAGCTTTTCTTTAAACACCATATCTCTTTACTAGGTCATTCGCGGGTTAAGCAGAAACGAGAGTGAAACTTACCCCCAAAAAAGCCCTAAGAAAAAAGAAAAAAAAGGAAAAAAAGACTTTCTCGTCTATCTTTTGCCATGTTCGCAAGCGATATCTGACCAATGTTGATTCTACTATTTCCCGCATGTCGTTTTTCGCTATTTTGGTTTGTGTGCGGTACAGAAAGGGGATCGGAAACATTTCACCTGGGCTCTACAGTGTTTGAAGAGGTCCCAGTGTTGATGAGACCACCTGATTTGGGTAAGACCAGACTCTTGTTTGACCCTGGGTGGAAAGAGAGAATTTCCAGAAATTAGAAGGAATGAAAAAAAAAATAGTTTGCTGACTTTTTAAATTTTTTAGAATTAATTATTTGGGGGGGG